TAAAACCCCGTCTCTACTAAAAATACAAAAATTAGCTGGGCATGGTGGCATGCACCTGTAACCCCAGCAACTAGGGAGGCTAAGGTAGGAAGATCACTTGAATAGAGGAGGCAGAGGTTGCAGTGGGCAGGTGGGCAGAGATCATGCCATTGCATTCCAGCCTGGGCGACAGAGCGAGAATCTGTCTCCAAAAAAAAAAAAAAAAAAAAAAAAAGAATTCCATACAGGTCTACATTCACCAAAGTTAAAGACCTGAATTCATCTTATGTGTGTGGCTTAACAAATTCCAACCCAACACATCAGGCAAATAGAAAAAGAAAATCAACATGGTTTCAGTGTAGTGGATATATTAATCTGATTTCAGGCTGCTGATAAAGACACAGCCGAGACTGGGAAGAAAAAGTGGTTTAATGGACTTATATTTCCATGAGGCTAGAGAGGCCTCATAATCATGCTGAAAAGCAAGGAGGAACAAGTCACATCTTACATGGATGGTGGCAGGCAAAGAAAGAGAGCTTGTGGAGGGAAACTTCCATTTTTTAAAACCACCAGCTCTTACAAGACTAATTTTTGGTCACGAGAATAGCAAGAGGAAGACCTGCCCCCATGATCAATTACCTCCCACCAAGTCCCTCCCACACGCATGAGAATTCAAGATGAGATTTGGGTGGGGACACAGCCAAACCATATCAGGGGGTGAAACAAATGTTTAAGGTTACTAAAAACTGCCATATATTAATAAAAGGGCCAATTCCCCCAGGATGATATAAAAATTTTAAACTTGGATGTACTTAATAAATTAACTTAAAAACATGTGAAACAAAAACTGAAAATACACAAAAAATAGACTAATTTTAGTAACAAAAGGGACAATCATTAGGTTATGCTAATAAAAGATATCAGTAATTATAAGAAATCTGAATAACTTAAATAGCTTGATCTATACACTTTTTATAAAGACCTGTCCCTGATAACTAAATAATTATTATTTATTAAATAATAGCTGTTCTTTTTAATCACAAATAGAACATTCACAATAACTACGTACTAGGCTATTAAAAACAAGTTGCAACCAATGTCAAAAAATTAATATTACATAAAGAACAATCTCTGATTATAGCTAAATTAGAAAATAGAACAAAAAGAGTTTTTAAAACATTCATGTGGAAACTTTAAAATATATTTCTAAATACATTTAAGGTCAAAGAGAAATCACATTGGAGCCTAAAAACAAAAACAAACAAACAAACAAAAGGAAAGGAGAATAAATCCAAACAAAGAAGCAAGGCAAAATAAAGATAAGAACAAAATTAATTAAGCAGAAAAAAGATATAACAGATAACACGAACACACTTCAAAAGGTAATTCTTCAGAAAAAAATTAAGTGAAAATTACTTTCAAAATTAATGAAGAAAAAGATTTAGCAAATAATTACCTATTTTATTTTTTAAAATTTATTTTAGTTTTCATTATTATCTGTTTTATTTTATTTTTTACTTTTTTTTTGATACAAGGTTTTGCCCTGTCCCCTAGGCTGGAGTGCAATGGTGTAACTGTGGCTCACTATGGCCTTCCCTGGCTTAAGTTATCCTCCTACCTCAGCTTCCCAAGTAACTGAGACTACAGGTACACACCACCACACCCAGCTAATATTTTCTGTTTTGTAGAGACAGGGTCTTGCCAGGTTGCCCAGGCTGGTCTTGAACTTTTGGGCTGAAGCAATCTTTCTACCTTGGCCACCTAAAGTGCTAAGATTACAGGCATGAGCCACCAGGCCTGGCCATAATTACCTATTTCAAAATGAAAAATAACTACTATAGATGGAGCAGAGATGCTTAATGTTAAGAGGATACACAAATGGCTGGGCACGGTGGCTCAGGCCTGTGTTCCTTATACTTTGAGAGGTCAAGGTGGGCAGATTGCCTGAGCTCAAGAGTTCAAGACCAACCTGAGCAACCTGGTGAGAACCCACCTCTACTAAAAATACAAAAAATTAGCCACTCATGGTGGCACATGCCTGTTCCCAGCTACTTGGGAGGCTGAGGCACAAGAATCACTTGAACCTGGGAGGCAGAGGTTGCAGTGAGCCAAGATCACACCACTTCACTTCAGTCTGGGTGACAGAGCAAGACTGTCTCAAAAAAAAAAAAAAAAATACACAAACAACTTTATGCCAACAAATATAAAAACTTAGGTTATATCAATATTCCTAGAAGAGTCAATGACCAAAAATGAGTCTAGAAGAAATAGAATATCAGAATGATTTAACAACTATTAAAGAACTAAATTAATATTTTAAATTTTTCTCACATAGAAAACACAGGCCCACAGTGGCTTCATAGGGTAGTCTCATTAAAGATTGAAAAAATTGATAATTTTTTTTATACAAACTTTCAGAGAACTTAAAAGAATAAATGCTCCTACTAATCATTTTAGTAGTTTACCACAACCAAAGCCAGATAGGACAATATATAAATGAAAATTTCCAGGCAAATCTCACTCATGACCATGAATGGAAAAAATCCTAAAAGAAATATCAGCAATGGGCAAAAAAAAAAAAATGATGATCAAATAAATTGCATTCCAGTAATTCAAGATTGTTTCAACATTCTGAAATCTACTAATATTTATTTACTACATTAAGGGATTCAAGGAGAAAAAAATTTATACATACACCCACTTATTTCAGTGGATGTTAGTAATACGTCTGATAAAAGTCAATGCCAATGCCATTCACGGTAAAAATTCTTAGCAAAGTAGGAATGAAAGAGAGTATTTCCTTAACCTGATTGAAACCACCTTTGCAAAAACTGTAACAGCGAGAAAAGTATGGCAGTGAAAGAGATCTGTCCTAACCAACTCCATCTTGCCTTAAGAATATTTCCTTAACCTCCAATACCTTGCTTTTGTTTATCCCTGTGCATAGGCTGAGCTGACCATAGGAGGAATTTAGTTCATAGTTCAACTTTGGAACAAAGATGATAACAGCTCTTTTTCAGAACAAACCGCCTACTTGCCTGGGGACCAGATCGTCTTTGCAAAACTAACAAATTAGCCACAAGATTAGAAATTATGGATTCGTAGTCCTGCAGTTAGGAGCCACAAGATTCCTAACCTCCTCAGTTGCTTCCATGGATAATGTTACTATTACAAAAACTAAGATTAGTGTTTAAGATATTTTCTAGACCCTGCATTCTGATGGATCAGCTGACACACCCAGACTGGTAAACTGGCTTATCTGGTCTTGTGCCTCACCTTCCCCAAGGAACTGACTCAGCGCAAGAGGACAGTTTTGGACTCCCTGTGATTTTATCCCCAACCAAACCAATCAGAATTCCCCATTCCCTAGCCCCCAAACTATCTTTGAAAGACCCTAGCCTCCAAATTTTCAGAGAGGCTGATTCAAGCAATAATAAAACTCTTGTCTCCAGCTTAGTCAGTTCTGTACACATTAAATTCTTTCTCTACTGTAACTCCCCTGTCTTGATAAATCGACTGTATCTGGGCAGTGAGTACGATGAACCCATGAGACAGTTACATGACAGATTATCTACAAATACCTACATCATATTCAGTGGTGAAATATTAAAAGTTTTTCCTCAAATGTCAGGAAGAAAAATGACAAGGATGTTAGCTATCATTACTTCTATTAAACACAGTACTGGAGGTCTTAGCAGACACAATACAATGAGAAAAAGAAAGGGTGGAAAGGAAAAAAGAAAACTGCCTTATTCCAAAGTGTTTATTATTATTATATGTATAGAAAATCCAAAAATAAAAATCTACACAGAATAAGAATTTGAGATTCAAAAAATACCATATATGAAACACACACACAAAGACTAAACATTCTATATGAAATGTTTAGTAAGTTTATCTTTAAGTAGGTTTATATTTATATTTTTTTGTTTCAGCATTATGGTTTTCCCAGTATTCTCCACTAGATTATTGAATATTTTAAGAGAATAATGTTACAAGATGTCAAATAAATATATAAAAGTCAATTTTATGTCTACATACTAGAAATAAACAAAAAAAAACTCGGCCAGCACGGTGGCTCAAGCCTGTAATCCCAGCACTTTGGGAGGCCGAGGCGGGTGGATCATGAGGTCAAGAGATCGAGACCATCCTGGTCAACATGGTGAAACCCTGTCTCTACTAAAAATACAAAAAATTAGCTGGGCATGGTGGTGTGTGCCTGTAATCCCAGCTACTCGGGAGGCTGAGGCAGGAGAATTGCCTGAACCCAGGAGGCGGAGGTTGCGGTGATCGCGCCATTGTACTCCAGCCTGGGTAACAAGAGCGAAACTCCGTCTCAAAAAAAAAAGAGAAAGCTCAGAAACAGACTCCCCCTTGTAACCTGAGATGCAACAGAGGTGCACTACAAATCTGTGGATAAAGGAGGTCCTATTTTAAAACAGTGGGACAGTTAGTTCCCCAAGAGAACAATAAGTTCTCTTGATGGGAAAAAATAAAAATCCATCCCTACTTGACACCACATCTTAAAATAATTTTTACATCAACAGATTCTACTTTAATAGAGGTGGGCAAACGGCAATGGAGGATTAATTCTGATTGACAGAAAGGATAGTTTTCTAAGGAGAGATGACCTTTGATGTGGTCCTTGAAGAATGAAAGGATTCTTATGGCAGAGCAATGTGGGAAATGGACTTCCAGGCGAGAACAGAAAGATGAAAGTCTCAGTGTGAGAGGCATGTCCTGGGAACGGACAAACAACCAGCCTGTCTGAACAGGAAAGAAAGCTATAATGTTGATGGCTGACTGGCCCTTTATAGTGTTTTTGCATCTATGCTGCACCAAGCTTCCGTCCTTTATGCTGGTAAGAACCAGTTACATTTGCAGGAAAGAAATATTATAAATATAGTGCTTCTACAACACTGACGCTCATCAAAAAGCCACTTCTATTTCAGCTCAGATATGCAAAAAACAAAACAAAACAAAACAAAAACATTTTTTAAACACGCGAGAAGTTCAAATACCTTTTCTTTCTTTTCTTGGGTGTCCTGGTTCTGGTTACTGGTGATTTTGTTGGCCTTGTTATGTACAGTAGGAATGACCTACGTCAACAAAAAAAGGGGTGGGAGGAAGAAAAACTTAAAATGACATAATCATTACATTTTATTTTTCTTGACATTCCAGAATGGATAATTTTTTTATCATTACATTTTGTTTTTTTGAGATGGAGTTTCGCTCTTGTCACCCAGGCTGAGTGCAGTGGTGCAATCTCCGCTCACTGCAACCTCCACCTCCTGGGTTCAAGCGATTCTCCAGCCTCAACCTCCCGAGTAGCTGGGATTATAGGTACCTGCCATCACACCCAGATAATTTTTGTATTTTTAGTAGAGATGGGGTTTCACCATGTTGGCCAGGCTGGTCTCCAGCTCCTGATCTCAAGTGATCCTCTCACCTCAGCCTCCCAAAGTGCTGGGATTACAGGTGTGAGCCACTTCACCCAGCCCACTGTTTTTCAAATAGCAGAGAAATGTTCTTCTGTACATGTATCTTTAGCAAAATTTAGAAGATAAAATCCTCAATGAGTCTACACCTTTCAGGAAAACAGAAGAATGTATTTCTTGTGAAATTAAAAATGTATCTATAGATGATTAATATGTAAAATGCTCATGTGTCGCCGAGCACTGTGGCTCACACCTGTAATCCCAGTTTTTAGGAAGGCAGAGGCATGAGGATAGTTTGAGCCCAGGAGTTCGAGACCTGCCTGGGCAATATAGCGAGACCCCATTTACAAAAAAAATAATAATAAATGAATAAAAAAGAAAAATGCTAATGTGTCAAAAAAAAAAAGTAGATACCCTTATGGAACAATGGTACTGGGAAGTACAACTGGAATATAGAAAGGAAAAAAGCAACATGTGGTGATAAACATAATGAACTGAAGATACGACCCAATTTCAAAAGGATTTTTTTTTTTTTTTGCAACAATACTTTTGCTCTGTCACCCAGACTGGAGTGCAGTGGTATGATCTTGGCTCACTGCAACCTCCACCTCCCGAGTTCAAGTGTTTCTTCTGCCTCAGCCTCCCAAGTAGCTGGGACTACAGAACTGCACCACCACACCCAACTAACTTTTTATATTTTTAGTAGAGATGGGGTTTCACCATATTGGCCAGGCTGGAGGACTTTTTAAGATGAAATACACACACACACACACACACTCACACATGTTTTTGTGAAGTGCAGTTATGTTATTAAGTGGAAAAAAATCACCTTATAGAAAAACTTTCTATGAGCCTTACTCTCAAATAAGTATTTGTCAAGTATATCCAAGTAGATACACACATTTTTTCAAAATGCTGAAAAGATACTTGAGAAAGTCAGGGTGAGAAGCTTTAAATGGTGTATTGGTGATGGTCCTAAAGCAGCTGATAATGCACCCAGATAAAAACAACCACTCCATTCATAGTGCTGAGGAGAATGTTTATGTGACCAAGGTACTTTCAGACATCAGGTCTTTGATGGGCATATTAGAAAATGACTTATTTTTGGGTTTTAAGGAAAGTTCAAATTTTAATGCAAATTAAACAAAAATAATTAAGCATTGCCTATAATTTCTATTTCTGGATAATCAGTACTACTTGCAATAATAAGTAAACCAAAGAGAGCACCATTTTACAAAGATATGAAACTTGATTCTCTTTTCATTTGTCTCATGCAATAAGAATCACTTTGTCCTGGCCAGGAGCGGTGGCTCATGCCTGTAATTCCAATACTTTGAGCCCAGGAGTTCAAGACCTGCCTGAAGAATAAGGGGAGACCCTATCTGCACAAAAAAAATAAAAAACTAGCTGGGCATGGTAATGCATGCCTATGGTTCCAACTGCTTGGGAGGCTGAACTTGGAGGATTGCTTGAGCCAAGGAGGTTGAGGCTTCAGTGAGCCATGATTGTGCCACTGTACTCATCCTGGGTGACAAAATAAGATGCTGTCTCAAAAAAAAAAAAAGAAACAAAAAGATTCACTTTGCCCTAAAAACAAGTTGAAATGGAACAAGTCATGGACATAGCAATTAACATCATCAATGGGATATGCTTCCTTGTCTAGAACCACAGATAGTTCAGTGCCTGATGAACTGAACGTACAGTGTTCAGTGTAGCAGTCTACTGTGATACATTAGGGAATAAGTAACTTGAGCATGGCCTGTGCTGAAGATACTTTCTTTGTTTGAATAATTGAAAGAAATTGTACTGTTTGTGTCATCCAAACAAAAATTTCTACCTCAGCTCACTAGCATAGGTTGGATTGAAAGCTTAGCCTTTTTGGCAGGGCATTCACAGCTGGCCACACAAATGTATAATTTGATCGGCTCTTTCTCACTCAAAATTGTTGATTTGGAAGTATAATTTGGCAAAGAACAATCTGGCCAATTTTCCTGTTGAGCCCAGTTTCCAGAAATAAAAGCCATGGCCTCAACAACATTCCCGATATCAGAAGAATTAAAAACTGGGTTCTAAAAATTCTCATTGAATTTCAAATTTTGTGAAAACAGGAGCATTTTATTCAGTTCACCTCTCTCAAGTAGTCTAGATGGTGTAAACATGGTGCTAAGAATGGAAGGCACCATACTGCAAAATGCAGTGACACAGCAGAGGTGCCAATGCAGACTGTAGCTCACTGGGCATAGGCAGGTTACAAGTATGCAGATGCCCCCACCATTGAGATGGCCAACCATATATTTGCTCAGTTTGCCATATAAGTATTATTTTCTTTTTGCCTTAACATTAAAAAAGATTGGAATGTACTACATAAGTATATTGGAATGCACTGTATAAGTATATTGGAAAGCAAATAATTTCTTAAAAGACGCCATTAGAAGTGCACATGTAAGCCTGGGCAACAAAGCGAGACCCTGTCAAAAACCAAAGAAAATTTGCCAGGTGTGGTAGCGTGCATCTGTAATCCCAGCTACTTGGGAGGCTAAGGCAGGAAGATTGCTTGAGCCCAGGAGACAAAGGCTGCAGTGAGGTACGATCATGCCACTGCACTCCAGGCTAGGTGACAGAGTGAGACTCTGTTACCAAAAACAAACAAAAAAAGAAGTGTGTATGTTTTGAACAGCTCTCTTCCATTATAAAATCAAGAAAAAGAAAATTGCTTCCAGTTTTAAGGGTGACACTGTAGAATAAAATCCACATCCTGCCACCGACATTTTATATCAAGTTCCAATTCCAAACCAAAGGAGTAATTAATTACAGAAGAAAAATTTTGGGTCAGGTGCAGTGGCTCACGACTGTAATGCTAGCACTTTGGGAGGTCGAGGTGGGCAGATCACTTGAGGTCAGGCATTTGAAACCAGCCTAGTCAGCAAGATGAAATCTCATCTCTACTAAAAATACCAAAATTAGAGGGCCATGGTGGCACATGCTTGTAATCCCAGCTACTCAGGAGGCTGAGGCACAAGAATCACTTGAACCTGCGAAGCAGAGGTTGCAGTGAGATCCCACCATTGCACTTTACCTTATGCAACAGAGCAAGACTCCATCTTTCGTCCCAAAAAAAAGAAAAAGAAGAAGAAAAAGAAAAATTTTATGATTAAGCATTGCTGTTTTTAAATTTAGACTCTCCAACATTAGAACACAAACAGTACAACACGTCAACATGTTTTTATTTTTACACGCTTTAATAAATATGCACAACATGTGATAGTATCTCTGCAATGTTTTTTACACCTGACTCTGTTCAAAGTATTTTATAAACAAAGTAACTGGCTCAGGAAAGTAACTTGCCTTCAAGTTAGCAAAGCTGGTAAATCAGGAATCAAGAAATTGAAAACAGGTCTGTTTGATTCCAGAGGGTGTAACTTAAACCAATGCACACTATAATGACTCCAATTTGATCAGAAGATCAAAACTGGAGGGGAAAAAAGGGACCTTAAGGTTAATCACTAAATTTTTGTGAAGCTTATACTTTTAGTATAGCTAAACAACAATGAAAATATGTGGAAAATACAGGCCAAAGCTTGCTCTGCTGGTATACAGAGTATTATTAAACTTCTTGAAAAGACAAACTAAAACTTACTCGTGGAGTGGATGACAAGCTCTGAACAACGAACACCACAGGGTTTCCTGCATTCTTAATGGCCTCGACTGCTTCACTGTGTGAGGCATTCTGCAAATCTACTCCAGACACCTGAAACACAGAAGCAACTTATTGAAATTAGAACAGCACTAGAGGCTGGGCATGGTGGCTCAAGCCTATAATCCCCGCACTTTGGGAGGCCAAGGCAGGCGGATCACGAGGTCATGAGGTCAAGAGATCGAGACCATCCTGGCCAACATGGTGACACTCCGTCTCTATTAAAAATACAAAAAAAAATTAGCCGGGCGTGGTGGTGTGTGCCTGTAGTCCCAACTACCCAGGAGGCTGAGGCAGGAGAATTGCTTGAACCCGGGAGGCGGAGGTTGCAGTGAGCCGAGATCGTGCCACTGCACTCCAGCCTGGCACCTGGCGACAGAGCAAGATTCTGTCTCAAAAAAAAAAAAAAAAAGAACAGCACTAGATACTGGATAGGTTAATTCAAAGTTTGTGTGTATTATCTAGTTATGAGAACAACCAGAGCCTAATGAATAGACCACAGTCAAGATTGACCCAGAAAAGCTTTAGGAGAACAAGGAAAGTAACATTTCATCTTCAGAAAAGTAGATAAGACAAACATATTAATAAAAATGGCCCTGGTTAAATATAATTATCCTAAACAGGTAGCTCAGTCAGTAACAGAAGCTTAAGATGTCTGCCACCTCTGCCAGGAGTGCAGCACATAATTCCAAGTGGGACAAGGGAGGTTGGGATTATCTGTGGACTTTTATCATCTCTCCATTAAACTGAGAGGTGTAATATTTTAAGCAAATCACCTGTTACACAATTGAGTAGTTGAACATTTCTCAAATGACATTTAAAAAGAAGTACCAAAAAACATTCACAAATTCCTCTACTAAAACTATTTCTGTGTTCAGTAAATTTAAGTGTAAACAGTTCTCTGTTACAGAAAATTTCAGAGAACCTAACTTGCTAACACACCCATAAATCTCCGAGAGCACTCTGTATTTCCAAAACATGTTTAACAGAATGAATTTTTCAAACCTATAAATAACAAAGCCTTGGTAGATGCTGGGGTGGTCTAATGTCTCAACAGATAGTGACAATTTGTGAAGACTGCTTTGCTATCAGAGGACTGAGGAAACAGGAATGCAGGTGGAGAGGGATGCAGGATGTTTTGAAGATAGGAGGAAATATTACAGTGATATTGATACAGTGGAGAGAAAAAAATGGATGATAAAGGAGAGAGACATAATCACTGTGAGGACAATATCCTTGGATAATCAAGAGGGAATGATTTCTACTATACAAGTTAGAGAGACTGGCTTTGGATGGAAGCACAAATATAGTTCCTTTGCTGTTATAAAGGCAATTAAAAAAAGATTTGGTGAGCACGGGAAGCAGGGGAAGGTCCCTTTAACTGCCTCTATTTTCTCAATGAGACCTAAAACTAGGACTTTGAGAGCAAGACGGAGGAAAGAGGCATAAGGGGTTTGGCACAGTTACCTATTGTATTAGTCTGTTCTCACGCTGCTGTAAAGAACGGCCTAAGAGTATGTAATCTATAAAGGAAAGAGGTTTAATTATCTCCTGTTCTGTATGGCTGGGGGGGCCTCAGGAAACTTACCGTCATAGTGGAAGGGGAAGCAAACCCATGCTTCTTCACACGGCAGGAAGGAGAAGTGCCAGCAAAGGGGGAAAAGTTCCTTATAAAATCATCAGATTGGCGGGGCACGGTGGCTTATTCCTGTAATCCCAGCACTTTGGAAGGCCAATGCAGGTGGATCATGAGGTCAGGAGTTTGAGATGAACCTGACCAACATGGTGAAACCCCATCCCTACTAAAAATACAAAAATTAGCTGGGCATGGTGGTGCACAACTGTACTATTGCACTCCAGCCTGGGTGACAGAGCGAAACTGTGTTTCAAAATAAATAAGTAAATAATATAAAATAAAATAATCAGATCTTGTGAGAACTCACTTCACTATCACAAGAACAGCAGAATGGGAGTAGCCACCCCCATGATTCAATTACCTTCCATTGGGTCCCTCCCATGACGTGGGGATTTGGGGACTACAATTCAAGATGAGATTTGGTTGAGGACACAGCCAAATCATATTATGTATAAGGATAGGAGACTGAACCAGCTAGGAGAATATTAAAGGACAGCAGGGCAAAATTAAAGACCCGCTTGTGAGGGTGCTCACGAGCTTCTAATGAGAACAGACACCATTTCTCTAGCCATGCCAGAGACCTGGAATAAGCAGAGTTGCACTTAACTAGGATGTGGTTCTCCCAGACAAGTTCAGTGAAAGGAAGAAGGATCAAGAGCAGGAAGCACATGCAAGGGAGGAGGTGGAGCCACAACCACTGAAGTGAGCAGGCGGAGGAGGAAGTGAGCACGAGAAGCTGAGGACACAGATGTGTGTGCCTGTGGTATCATACGAAATGTCCTTGTTCTTGTCACAGAGTACCCTTGGAATTTCCTGAGTGACAGGAGTGTCTTTTGCTATGCATGATAGCCCCTTTCACATCTGAGTTTATGGTACTGAGGTGGCTTAGGGTAGAGTCCCTGGATAGCCTCCAGATGGAGCCAGTCGGCAGAAAGACCAAAGAATTAGAGAACCCCACACTTCCCCCACGATCTCCAAGAAGTGAGGGTGGGGACTGGAGATGTAAAAACCCTTGAAGAACAAGATTTGATGAGCTTCTGAGTTGTGGAACATGTGAACATGCTGGGAGGGTGGCAGGTGGTACACCCAGAGTGCTGTTATTCTGTGCCCTCCTCCCCATACTTTGCCCTATGCATCTCTTCATCTGGCTGTCCATCTATAACCCGTGTATGACCAGTAAATGTAAGTAAGTGTTTCTCTGAGCTGCCCTAGCAAATTAACAAAATGCAAGGGGAGGGATGTGGAAGCCTTGGTTTATAGCCAGTTGGTCAGAAGTATAGGTAACAACCTACTAAGAGTGGCATCTGACACGGGGACAGTCCTGTGGGATCAAGCCCTCAACCTGTGTGATCTGATGCTATATTCAAGTACACAGTGTCAGAATCGAATTAAATTATAAGACAGTTGGTGTCCACTGGGGATCTGACACTATCTCCACGTACATATTATCAGAATTGAACTGAATTATAAGACACCCAGTTGGTGTACACTGGAGTATGGGGGGAAACCCCTACACATCTGGTCACATTTACTGTTCTGTTTTGAGTGTGAGAGTAAAGGGAAGAGGTTGGTAAGAATAGGGAGTAACCAAAAAATGAAAATTTAAAAATAATAATAATAAAGAACATGGAGAAACATACATTGCTGGTGTGAATGAAAAATAGTATAGCCAGCCACTCTGAAAAAGAGTTTGACAACTCTTTTCAAAAACTGGAATTAACATAAAACTCAGTAATTGTACTCTTGGGTATTTATCCTAGAGAAATGGAGACTTATTTTTCACTCAGGAATTTGTGTACAAATATTTAGAGCAGATTTATTTGTAATAGCCAATAATTAGAAACTAGCCAAGTGTCTTTCAATGGGTGAATGGTTAAACAAATTGGCACACCGACATCACGAAATGCCACTGTTATGGTTGGAATTTACGTGGCCTTTACAGTTCCTATGTTGAAATTCTAACCTCTAAGGTGAAGGTATTAGGAGGTAGGCAGGGCCTTTACTAAATGATTAGGTCATGAGGGCTCTGCCCTCAAGAATGGAATTAGAGGCCTCATAAAAGAGACCTACAATAGCTAGCTCATCCCTTTCACTATGTGAGGACACATAGTAAAAGAGAAGGTGTCATCTGGGATCCAGAAAACAGGTCCTCACCAGACACCGAATCTGCCAATGCCTTGATCTTGGAGTTCCCAGCTTCCCAGCCTCCAGAACTAAAATGCAATTTCTGTCTTTATGGTATTTTGTTTTGGCAGCCTGAATTTCCAAAGACAACTACTCAACAAAAAGGAACAAACTGGTTGCTTTTTTGTAGAGAGAGGGTTTCACTCTGTTGTCCAAGCAAGTCTTGAACTCCTGACTCAATCCACTCTCTTGCCTCTGCCTCCTAAAGTGCTGGGATTACAGGTGTGAGCCACCTCACCCAGCCATAGGAATGAACTAGTAATGCACACAATAAATTGAATTAACTTCAAGGAGATTATGCTAAGTAAAAAAAAAAAGCAAAAAGATACATAATGCATAATTGCATGATGAGACAATTGTAAAATAACATAATTACAGACAATAAGAAATGGATTACTGGCTGTCAGAAGACAGAGATGGGAGAGAAAGGGAAGAGGATAACAGAAAGTGAAGAAGGTGACTGCTTCTCTTTCTGCCATGATTGTAAGTTTCCTGAAGCCTCCCACCAATGTGGAACTGTGAGTCAATTAAACCTCTTTCCTTTATAAATTACCCAGTCTTAAGTATTTCTTCATAGCAGTGTAAGAATGAACTAAAACAGAAGGAAAATGCAAGGCAGCTTTGTGGTGATGATACAGTTGAGTTTCTCAATTGTGGTGGTGCATACGCAAGGTTTTACATGTGATAAAATCGTATAGAGCTACAAACACACACGCAAATCAATGCATGCATAACTGGTAAAATCTGAATAAATTACAGATTGAGCTAATGTCAATTTCTTGGTGTTGCTATTGTGGTATAGTTATACAAAATATTAAAATTGGAGGTGGCTGAGTAAACAGTACATGAGACTTCCCCTGTACACTTCTCTGTAATTTGCTATGAATTTATGATTTCAAAATACATTAAGAAAAAATATAATACAATAATAAATATTTAAAAATTAAGTTACAATAGATCAGTAATCAAATTAAAAAGTTAATACATTTCACTTATTTTCTAGGTGATTATTAATTTAGATTTAAAAAATTCAGTTGTATGTTGCTTACAAAAAATACAACTTAAACTAAATGAAAAGAATAGTGGAAAAGGAGGAATGAAAAAAGCAAAGTACCGGCTGGGCACAGTGGCTCACGCCTATAATCCCAGCACTTTGGGAGGCCAAGGGGGGCAGATCACCTGAGGTCAGGAGTTCGAGACCAGCCTGACCAACATGGTGAAACCCCACATCTCTACTAAAAAATATAAAAATTAGCCAGGCATGGTGGTAGGCATCTGTAATCCCAATTACTCCGGAGGCTGAGGCAAGAGAATCACTTGAACCTGGAAGGCAGAAGTTGCAGTAAGCCAAGATTGTGCCATTGCACTCCAGCCTAGGCGACAGAGCGGGACTCGGTCTCAAAAAAGGAAGAAAAGCAAAGTACCATGTAAATTAATAACTAAAAACAAGGTTACCAATACTAATAAAATAGAATTTAAGGCAAAAAGTAATTATTAGGAATAAATAGGAAAACTACATAATGTCAAAAACAAATCACCAACAACAAATCCACTAAATATATACAGCAAAACCAGCAGAATTACAAGGAATAATGAACAACTCCAGTGGGAGACAAACTCTAACTGAAACTGAGGAAAAAGACCAAAAAAAATTAGTAAGAATGCAGGACTCCTTGTTTGTTTATCTAACTGACTACTACTATTCGGATGTCAAATAGGCATCTTAACCTGTCTAAAAAATGTCTCCCCAAATCTGTTTCTCCCACAGTCTTCCCCATCTCAGCAAATAGAAATTCCATCTTTGATTCCTCAAGCTGAAAAGCTTTTGAATTATCTTTGCCACTTTTCTCTTTTGCCTTCATTCTACTACTTAAGTCCTATTATTCTACTTGCAAAATATACTACAACCTGACTGCTCCCCTCCTGGTCCAGGCTGCCATTCTTTCTCTCCTAGGTGACTGCAACAGCTTTCCAGCTGAGGCCCCTCCTTCCAGCCCAGCCCCAGAAGCCAGAATACTCCTTTGAAACAATACATACTTACATACTCATAATTCTCCAGTGACTCTCCTTTGCATTCAAAGCCGAAGACCTTCCAGAGCTTTCAGGCTCTACATGACGTGGCTTCCCATCACTCCTCAGCCCTTTTCTCTTATCCCTTCTGGCTTGTTCATGCTATGCTATTATTCCTGGACTTCCTGCTGCTCCTTGAACAAGCTCCTATCTCAGAGCTTTTGCATGTTTTTCTTCCTCCATATATCCATACGGCTCACACTCTCATTTCCTGTATTTGTCCCAATATTATCTTCCATAATGAAGTCATTAAAATTGCAACTATTGCTTTCACTGCCCCCAAACCCCTACACTCCTTATTCTCCTCCACTGATTTATTTTGTTCCCTAGGTACTTATCACAACCTGATATTCTACATATACTTATTTATTTTATTCTCTATTCCCCACTCCCACCATCATGTAAACACCACAAGGTAAGGGACTTGGGTCATCTTCTTCATTGCCATATTAGCAGTATGTTTGAAAATGGTTTTAAACATTGCACAGCACAAATATAACTCAAAATTTGTATACAGAGCTGTTTTTGTATAATTCTTTAATTTAATCCTCACAATAATGCTATAGATTTTGAATTCTCATTTCTATTTTATTTGAAAAGTGAAAATCTGTACGTCTAATGACTTGTCCAAAAACACCTAGAACCCAAAAAGGACAGACTCTGACTCCAACCCATGACCTCCAGGGCTCTTTGTATTCCATTAGAGCTGAAACACCATGGTTGATGGTTAGCATCATAAAGCATGAATCAGAACAAGCAGATAATGGGATTAAAGATACCCACCATGGTGTCACCCAATTAACCCAGTGAAAAGAAATGTATCACATTCAGACTTCAGGGCACTCTCAGTGGTTTCATGTCCCCCACCCCACCCCAATTTTTTTTCTATTTTGAGACGGAGTCTCACTTGGTCGTGCGGCTGGAGGGCAGCTGGGCAATCTCAACTCACTGCAACCTCTGCCTTCCGGGTTGTGGCGATACTCCTGCCTCAGCCTCCCAAGTAGCAGGGAATACAGGTGCGGCTACCACGCCTGGCTGATGTTTGTGTTTTTAGTAGAGATGGGGTTTCACCATGTTAGCCAACCTGCTCTCAAACTCCTGACCTCAACTGATCCGCCTGCCTCGGCCTCCCAAAGTGCTAGGAATAGGCATGAGCCACCATGCTCAGCCTGAAGTGCCTTTAAAACTAGCTCCCAGGCCGGGGGCAGTGTCTCACGCCAGTAATCCCAGCACAGTGGGAGGCCGAGAAGGGCACATCACCAGCTCAGGAGTTTGAGACCAGACTGACCAACATGGTGAAACCCCGTCTTTACTAAAACTACAAAAAAATTAGCTGGGTGTGGTGGTGCATACCTGTAATCCCAGCTACTCAGGAGGCTGAGGCAGGAAAATCGCTTGAACCCAGGAAACAGAGGTTGCAGTGAACCAAGATCACGCCACTACACTCCAGCCTGGGTGACAGAGCAAGATTCCGTCTCAAAAAAAAAAAACACCAAAAAAACAAAAAACAACTTAGCTCCTACAAAGCATATCAGGTGTGAACCATGGATCCTCCCCCTCCCCCAATGGAGTCTTACACCTTCTAGGGTCAACTTCTTACTCTAAACAAGATTATATATCCTATTGACACATAATTATAAAATTTAGAGCTTCAAGAAAAAAATTTAGAGCTTGTTAAAGACTGTGGGAGAAGCATAATGCCTACCATCTGCCCTGTTCTATATAGAGCCCTTTGTTAGTGTTCTTTGCGATCAGCTGAAGTTTTTCTTTTATCATTTTATTTGTTTACCCCCACCCCCACTCATTTGAGAAACTCATAAATTGTGCATACAATGTACAAACTAAGGCATATAAATAGAGCACACCAACTGTACACACATGCTCCCCAGCACAGGAAGAAAAGTCTTCTGGCCAAATGATTATTCCACTGTCTTACAGTATGTTTCCAATAAAAACGGTACTTTAACATCATTTACCTCAAGTATTTTATCTCCAGTTTTAAGTGCGTTTGTCTTCCCTGCTGGACTGTCTTCTAAAACTTGCTTGATAAATATACCTTTAAGTTCCTCTCCATTCTTTAGACGTTTTATAACAGTTTGTCCACCAACAATACTGATCCCAAGGGACACATTGGGTTCTCTAAAAATCTCAACACTATATAAAGGAAAAAAACAAAATTCACTCATCAACAAGTTAATTTAATCTGTTGGACTGCAACTATTCCATTTGTATCATATCGTTATGACTCACATTTTATATAAATTTTCTAAATATATTTTTACAAATGTTATACAAATGATATGTTGTTCTAGCATTGTAAGACGTTATCAATAATTCATAATGTGAAAGTTTCAGTTCTGAAAAGCATAGATTTCTAAAACAATAAATATAACTCTTAATATTCAGTAAAGATTTAGCCAAGCCCTAATGTTCCCATCTCCTATCACAGTATGTTTTCTGTGATTAGTCCTTTTCATTGATATCCATAACATTAGCAAAGAATGGACTGAAGAAAAAACAAATGGGCAAAAAAAAAAAAAAAAATTAAGAAAGCCACATATGTCATTTTAGCAAAAAGTACAGACTTTCAGAATAAAGTCAATTTGCCACTGAGTGGCTCATGGCCCAAGTGGCTTTTCCCAGTTGGCAGGTTTAACTCTGTGGTTCTTTAATCAGAGGACAGATTTTACTTGCTCCTAAGGCCAGAAGGTTTTGATTTCTTCCTACCTCCATATCATTATTTAAAAGAAAGTTTGAAAGAAAAACTGACCCCCTCAAAATATTATAAATTTTGGACTGCAGCCAATAATCAACTCATTAAAAAATTAACTCAGAAAACAACTCTTAAATTTTTTAAGACAAATTCAGATTTCAATTACAAGAAAAGAACCAGTTTGGATGGAGGTGGTGGGATTAATAATGGATATGGAATAGAGAGAACAGCTAAAGAATGACTTTTATCATCTTAAAGTACAGCCCTGGCAAGGACTTAAAACTACAGGGACTGGTAAGTACTTAAAACTTCCTCCATATCCAAGGGAAGATGGGTTTTCAACACATTCTTTTAGCACAAACGTGGACTCTCCACCAGGAGAGAAAGGTAGGGATAAATTGATATATACTAGAAGTCTCAACTACTGTTATGGTTGTTTACCAAAAACGGAAGCTTTACTACATTCAAGGCAGCTTTACCTGACTTGCTAATGACATAGTGATAAACTATACCTATAGATGGACATTTCTAAACTGCTTTCTCTGAAAGAGTATCAAAGATATTCCTAATATTGGTTACAGTTGTTTTGTTCAGCTAAAAATCTCTAGATAAGACAACACGAAACTAAAATGTAGGCCAGCTTACAGGTGAATTCTCGCAATTTCTCAGTCATTAGAGTATGACGAAATGATGTTCTAAAAAGTTAAAGAAAAGAGTAACTGATTGTGCTCCTACTGAGAAAGCCAATAATGTCATCCACATACATTCTTGGTGGACCCCAGTGGCTAAAATTGGGAGTTTCTTCTCCTTCACCTTCTTCTCTCTCAGGTAATTCACTAAACAGGGAGAAAGAAAAAAAAATACAATTTAAAGGCATACTCATCATTAAAGGTCCTGGGAAAGTTTTGAAATTGCAAAACCTATAGGTAGTCGAATGAATCTCAATTTTTAAGTTTGTAAAATATTTACATTAAAAAATATACAAAGTAAAAATATATTGCTTTAACATTCAACTCAAGAAATCCACACTCAGCATAAGAAAATCACAGAATTATCATAAACACTCTTATTGATGACACTCTAGATGCTAAGTTTGTATTTGATTTGTACAATTTCAAATTCATTTCTCTATCAATATGTAAAATGTTATAAAATGTATTCCTTAACATTTGGTATTGTTGGCTGGCTCACACGGTAATCACGCAGTGGCTCACACCTGTAATCCCAGCACTTTGGGAGGCCAAAGCGGGTGGATCACAAGGTCAGATCAATACCATCCTGGCTAGCATGGTGAAACCCCATCTCTACTAAAAATACAAAAAATTAACCAGGCATGGTGGCACACTCCTGTAGTCCTAGCTACTCAGGAGGCTGAGGCAGGAGAACTGCTTGAACCCAGGAGGCGGAGGTTGCAGTGAGCCGAGATCATGCCAATGCACTCCTGCCTGGGCAACAGAGTGAGACTCTGTCAAGAGAAAGGAAAGAAAAGAAAGAAAAGAAAGAAAAAGAAAGAAAGAAAGAAAGAAAGAAAGAAAGAAAGAAAGAAAGAAAGAAAGAAAGAAAGAAAGAAAGAAAGAGAGAGAGAGAGAGAGAGAGAGAGAAAGAAAGAAAGGAAGGAAGGAAGGAAGGAAGGAAGGAAGGAAGGAAGGAAGGAAGGAAGGAAGGAAGGAAGGAAGGAAGGCAGGCAGGCAGGCAGGCAAGCAAAACAAAACAAAAAACTTGGTATTGTCTGACCTGCTAAGACACAGAAATCGATATATATCATATATATCAACATGAACAGGTCAACATGATCCCTCTTTCTAGCCCTAAATATTTCCTGTCATTTGTATCCATGAATATTTTGTGTACTTATATGGAACTTTTCTGTTACTTACATTATCTAATATTATCCTCACTGCCTCCCACCTACACCATCATATTTTCTTCCATCAAGTTAAGTTAGAATAGAACTGCTGAACTGAACATGGTGAAACCCTGTCTCTACAAAAAAAAAAAAAAAAAAAAAAAGCTGGGTATGGTGGCACATGCTTGTAGTTCCAGCTACTTAGGAGGCTGAGGCGGGAAGACTGCTTGAGCCTGGGATGTCAAGACTGCAGTAAGCCATGTTCATGTCACTCTATTCAGCCTGGGTGACAAAGCAAGACCCTGTCTCAAAAAAAAAAGAACTGCTGAACTGGATAATGTAAAGTGCTGAGTTACGGAGTAGTTACTTATAAGATTAATGCAATCTAATAATGAATAGACAGCACTGTGTATTATCTGGAAGAGAAATCAGGAGTCCTAAGCTCAAGTCTAACTGATACCATGAAATAGGTGTGTGGCTTTGGACCACCAAATGAAATAGGTCTAATGTTGTAAATTGCATTACTCCATACAAAAATGTAGGCACTACTTCTTCCACTTCATTCTCATAAAAACCCTTGACCAGGTGTGGTGGGCTCATGGCTGAAATCCCAGTGTTTTGGGAGGCTAAGGCAGGAAGATCACTTGAGTCCAGGTGTTTGACAGCAACCTGGACAACACAGTGAGACCCCATCTCTACAAAAATTAAAAAAAAATAGCTGGGCATGGTGGCACACCTGTAGTCCCAACTACTAGGGAGGCTGAGGTAGGAGGTTCATTTGAGAACAGGAGTTCAAGGCTGCAATGAGCAATGATCACATTACTATTCACCAGACTGAGCAACAGAGCAAGACCCTTTCTCAAAACTAAAAATACCTTTAACCTATAAAATAAGCACAGCAGGTCCTATTATGTTTTACACAAGAGGAACTGAAGCTTGGAGAAGGCTTAAGCACACTATACAACCTCACAACCTCTCCTTATGTATCCAAATCTGTTTTAGCTCTAAGTTTCTATACTGCCATTTTTCTCCGAACTCTCAAGTAAGCCCTATTAAGTACAGCAAAATTCCACCTTCTTGGCCCTTTACAGACTTACTCTCTAGGATAAAACTGTTGTAAGGCCATGTGAAAAGAGAAGGCTGAAGGGATCTAGACAAGCCAAATATCAGTTAAGAAATTAGGATTGTTACATCTCATCCACTACCAGATGTCTTTCTTATCTTAGCCAGTCAAATTTTTATGATTAAAAGTATCATAGCTTTTGGGGGAAAACAACTTGGCAGACACTTGCTGCTTACTTATCTAACATCTTTTTCTCCCCTTCTTCCATACCAACATAACCCCTCTTTTATTCTAGGTGGCATTATGCCCAGCTTTGATAAAAATACATTTCTGGACTTCCTTTCAGCTAATGGGAACTGTGTGCCACAGTGCTGATCAGTGATATGGAACCAAAAGTCCCTGGATGAGACTTCCAGGAAAACTCATTAAAAGGGAGGAGAATCAGCTGGTAGGAGCTTTTTGCTCTATGCCCTCCCCTTCTTGCCTAGAATTCACAGATGATATTGGTGGTCAAACAATCATCTTCAAATCATAAGAAACAATGAGGAGTAAGGCCATACATTAAGGGTAGCAGAGCAGAAAGGATGAAGATATTTAAGACCCTGATGACAGCAGCACCATACCATCCTAAGACCAACTTCTTCAGGACTTTTCCCATGAAAAAAATTTACACCTTTATTTGGTTAAGCCACATTTGATGGGGTTTCTGTTTTCTGTTTATGAGTACGTAATTGTAATCCCTGAATGACACACCCACAATTCCACCAATTTAAGTAAATGGTTTTCACTTTAGCCTATTACATTCTTGTTTTTTGCAACTATATTATCATAACTGAAATCATAGCACAAACTTTCCTATTTTGATAATCCTATGTAGTAGTAACAAGAATTAAATATTAATTGAGGCTCAACCGATATTCATTTCCTCTATAAGTTTTTTCACTTGAACTTATAACAAAAATCTACCCACATAGTATCATAATCTTCACCATTTTTTTATTTAATAGTACCTTAAAAATTCATTGTATTGATGTAATTTATCTGCTATCTCAATATATGATGCACTTAGATTATGTATTAGTCCATTTTCACACTGCTATAAAGATACTACCTGAGACTGGGTAATTTACAAAGAAAAGAGGTTTAACTGACCCATAGTTTTGCATGGCTGGAAAGGCTTCAGGAAACTTACAAACATGGCAGAAGGTAAGGGAGGCAGGAGAGAGAGAGTGCACAGGGGAAACTGCCACTTTTAAATCATCAGATCTCATGATAATGCCCTCATTATCATGAGAACAACAGGAGAAAACTATCATGATCCAATCACCTCCCACCAGGTCCCTCCCCTAACACATGGAAAATACAACTTGAAATGATATTTGGGTGGGTACACAGAGTCAAACCATATCATCCTATCCTGGCCCTTTCCAACTTTTGTGTCCTTTTCACATTTTAAAATCAATCATGACTTCCCAACAGTCTCCCAAAGTCATAACTCTTTTCAGCATTAGCCCAAAAGTCCAAGTCCAAAGTCTCATCTGAGACAAGGCAAGTCCCTTCCACTTAGAAGCCTGTAAAATCAAAAACAAGTTAGTTATTTCCAAGATACAATGGGGGTACAGACATTGGGTAGATGTTTTCATTCCTAATGTTCTCCAAATAGGAGAAACTGGCCAAAACAAAGGGAACAAAGGCCCCACATAAGTCCAAAACCTGGTGGGGTAGTCATTAAATCTTTTTTTTTTTTTTTTTTTGAGATGGAGTCTCCCTCTGTCACCTGGACTGGAGTGCAGTGGTGCAATCTTGGCTCACTGCAACCTCCACCTCCCAGTTCAAGCAATTCCCCTGCCTCAGCCCTGCAAGTAGCTGGGATTACAGGTGTACACCACCACAACCAGCTAATTTTTGTATTTTTAGTATAGAGATGGGGTTTCGCCATGTTGGCCAGGCTGGTCTCACCTCAGGTGATTCACCTGCCTCAGCCTCCCAAAGTGCTGGGATTATACGTGTGAGCCACTGTGCCTGGCCATAATCATTAAATCTTAAAGCTACAAAATGATCTCCCTTGACTCCATGTCTCACATCCAGAACATGCTGATGCAAGGGGGTGGGCTCCCAAGGCCTTGAGCAGCTCTACCTCTGTGGCTCTGCAGGGTATAACCCCCATGGCTGCTTCCACAGGCTGGTGGTGTGTCCCTGTGGCTTTTCCAGCTGCATGGTACAAGCTGTCAGTGGAGCTACCATTCTGGGGTCTGGAGGACAGTGGCTCTCTTCTCACAGCTCCACAAGGCAGTGCCCCCATGGGAATTCTGTGTGGGGGCTTCAACCTCACATTTCCCCTCTCGATTGCCCTGATAGAGATTCTCCATGTGGGCTCCGCCCTGTAGCTGACTTCTACCTGGATATCCAGGCATTTTCATACATCTTCTGAAATCTAGGCAGAAGTTCCCAAAGCTCAACTCTTGTCTTCTGTGCACCCTCAGGCCCAACACCACATGGAAATTGTCAAGGCTTGAGGCTTGGACCCTCTGAAGCAACAGCCTGAGCTATACCTTGGCCCCTTTTCACCACAGCTGGAGCTGGAGCAGCTGGGATGCAGGGTACAAAGTCCCAAGGCTGCAGAGAGTATCAGGGCCTTGGGCCTGACCCACAAAACCATTTTTCACTCTTAGGCCTCTGGGACTGTGATTGGACGGGCTACCACGAAGATCTCTGATGTGCCCTAGAGACATTTTCTCCATTGTCTTGGCTATTAACATTCAGCTCCTTGTTACTTATGCAAATTTCTGCAGCCAGATTGAATTCTTCCCCAGAAACTGGGTTTTTCTTTTCTACCATATGGTCAGGCTGCACATTTTCCAAACCTTTATGCTCTGCTTCCCTTTTAAACATAAGTTCCAATTTCAAACCATCTTTTTGTGTACATA